TTCTATTTTCAGATAAGAACACTTATTCCTTTTAATTTTTAAGGAATAATTGCCAAGAAAGGACCTATTATTGATAGGGTCTGTTCTATAGTTTTTTAAAACAATCTACTTTATCTATTTTCTTTAAAAGATAATATCAAGGCATTGCTAAACAATGCAAATTATTCGGATCCTGGGTTTCCCTTCAATTTCACTGGGAATTGCAGGTGGTAAAAATGGGTAGGTTTGGGCCCTGTCTTTTTAGTCAATTTTTTAAGTTCTTTTTTTTTTTTTCTTTTATGTTTTTATATTATTTTTTTGGTGATTTTGTCCATGTTTACTATAACTATATTCCCCAGAAGTGTCTTGCTGTTCTCTACTCATATGTACCGAGCATCAAAACAACTTGGCTGATGGATGACCCCTTTTTCACATGCCATTGCCAAGTTGCTTCATATAAACATGCTATAGTAACTGAATATCCATGTATACCTTATTTTAAATGCTGTGATATTCCGTCGGTCCTTGGGATAGCACTCGGAATGAGTGTGCACGCGTGTAAGGCTCTAATTTTCTATTGCCTATATTGCAGCTAGTAACTAGGCAAGTAAATGAGAAAGAGACATATAGTTCTTCATATAGCAGGAGTCAGGCACTTTGGGTTATGCTGTCCCAAAGCCTGGTAGGTATGTAAAACTGGAAAAAAAAATAAAATTCAGACAGATTATAACCCATATCACAGTTGAGAAAATTACACTATTTTTTGTAGGGTTTTTTTCCTTTCTTTCTTTCTTTCTTTTTTTCTTTTTTTTTTTTTTTACAGTGATTTCTGCTATGGTAAAGTTACTCTTAGTTTCACCTGGCCTGCTAAACAGAATCAGAGTCGAGCACGCCGCCCCCAGTGACAACGTTCAGCTCTCTGCGAGGATGACCTCCCGCCTCCGGGTACGGTATGAGAACAGCAATGCTGAGATTTAGATTAATTTTGGAAACTCTGCAGAGTTTAGATGCTTTTTTACCAGCTTTCACACACATCCCCCTCCCCTTTATCCCCCACCTTTCCCCGTACCCTTTCCCCCTCTTCCCTTGGGGGGCGGGCTTGGGTCAAAGCGATGAAGAGGAAGATGCGCGCCCCGGCTGGCAGAGCTCTCTGCAATGAGTTCTGGCTGCTGGAGGGACGGGTGAGTCTGGTGCTGCCAAAGGGGCCAAATGGACAGCGTGCCTCCCGTCCCTCCGCCCTGGCGTGCTCCGCCACTGGCACCCGACGTCCGACGAGGTGCCCCGGCCTTAGGGAAGGCCTTCACTTTCGCTCCCCCTGCCCTTCCGGTACCGCTTCACTTTCACGTCCTCCTCTTCCTCCTGTGGGGACTTGTTTTTTCTTTTCCCAACCCGGGGTGCCCGGGATAGAGGGAGAGGGAGCGGAGGGGGTGGAGGAGGAAGAGGAGGTGGCAGGGGTGGTGTCTCTCGAGCCATATGTATGACAGCCTCGATGGTGGCCATGATAGTATCTTGAGTGGCTGCTTGCTCCAATATCAAAGGATTGAGTGTTGGTCTCTGACCTCTTTTGCTGGGAAGGTCAATGCATTTTTCCAGAACGGGCATTTGGTCTCTGGAGTCTTCGTCGAAGGAAAGGGGTTGCTTCCGAGGACGACCCCTCCGCTTCTTGACGAAGTTATTGCCTGTCTTTGATTGTCTCTGCAGCCGCTTGGCTTTCAGGATCTTGTTCACATGATCCAGGTTCTTCTTCGTGGACAGGATCTTGGTGTAGTTGCACATCTTGCGCACCTCGCACTGGATTGCTTCGATTTCACGGCGCTTGAACCTTTTCTTCAGTGGTGAGCTGGCTGTTGGGAGACAAGGAGGGAAACAGGGTTAGGTCAAGCAACAGTGATTCGAAACTTTTCTTTGAATCCTTTGAGGTTCATGAAGAGTAGACAAAAACATAACTGATATTTAGCAGTCTTCCCTCTTCTAAAGAACCAAACCTTTTCTACCGCAATGTTTTACCATGGGTTTGCTTCATTCTCATTTCTAAACCTCTAATTGGAGTGAAGGGAGCTTAGCATAGCTGGACCATCTTAACTATTAAAACCTTTTATATTCTAAAGATATAATCCCGATGTCTTCATCCCGGCCTTTAATTCTTGTCATGAATGTCAGTTAGTATACAAAATGTTTGTTACTGAAACTAGTGGGCAGAGAAAAGCTGTGTGGGTCACTTAATCTGTGGTAAATTCATTACTCCTGCCTGGGTTTCTGTACTATCATCTCTGCAGATACAAGCTGAAACTACTCAGTCATATAATTGACTTTAATGGCCCCCAAAGTAAGCTTACTCCTGGTTCAGATCACTTACTTTAGATCTGAATGAAGTCCAAAGTAGTTAAGTCTCTTGCCAAGGTCACATTGTGAGTCATTGTCAGAGCTGGAAAGAGTACCCAGCATTTCTTGGCTCCTGGTCCTTTGCTTAGGACACGAGTCCTTGCTTGTTTTGCCTAAATTGTCTCATTGTCCTTTACTGAACATGGCATCTGTTCAGAGTTCAGGATTTGCACACAGATTAGAAGTAACTACCCCTTTGTGAGGGAAACAGAATGTATTAATTCTGCTTTTGCAATAACTGGTGCTCCCTTTCACTCCCAACGTATCCGTTCTGCACTGCTGGAAAAGAAATGTTGGCGCTCAGGATTTCTTTTTGGTGAAGAATAAAACATCCCATTAAATTAAACTCAGCCCACATCTACTTGCAAACTTAATTTACACCTGACTGTCAAGCAGTCATTTGGGTTTGAAATCCTTGAAATTTCCTGAGCAGCCAAGATTTCGAGAGAGGTTCATTTGGGGGTTATCACTCCCTTCACGGCTAATCTTCTAGCAGCAGTTTAAATAAAGTTGCTATTGTAGTATTTTCTGTAGATAACCAGGAGCTGTCAAGCGGGAGAATCTCCACTTGCTCTCTTAGGGCTATGACAGATTCAGCATATAAACCTCATTCACTGGCCTCCCCTCTTGGAGAAACATAAATTATTGGCTCTTATACCACCATGTTGCTTGGATTCAGTGAAGAGCTTGCGTAAACAAACCCAAGTTACAATGTAAGAAGTAGGAGTGAGTCATAAACAAAACACAGACATATGCTCTCTTATAAATAAAGACCTGGGATGGCTAACTTCCCAAAGTCTGGTTTTCATTAATTACAAAACAAAATACATTTTCCATATGTAACCCACTCCCCGCACCAAAAAGAAAAACAAAACCCACTTGCAGTCACAGAGGACAAAGAAAAAGAGGAATGCAGTCATTCTGGTACCAAAGGAAAAGAGAAAGGAAATGAAATATCCAAGTTGCTCAGGAGAAGCTAATTAGTTGCACAGAATTCCTCCCAAGTAGGTCACCCCTAAAAACTGTGGATGCAAGGTCCCTAAAGGCAAGTTGCAGTGAGCTATTTCTCAGAAATTTGATCAAAAAGGTTAAATCCCTGTCATGGAAAATGATAGCTCTCATCTGTCCTCACTGGTGATTGACACGAGGAGTCCCAATATCTTCAGCCTTAAGCATGCAAATCCTTTGAGCCCCTCCCACATCCTGAGAGTAGCTTCAGGTCAGAAGATCTAAAAAATCAAACATTTGGCACAGTCTTCACATTTACTGTCCACCTTTTGCCTTTTACTGCTATTGTTAGGCCACATTCTCAAGTCTTTTTTTTTTTTCCTAATTCTCATATTTGAGATGTAATTTCCTTTTTTTTTTTTTCCCAGAAAGTAATGCTGATTTTTTTTCAGCTGGTGATGAGAAATTTAGCAGAAGGACAGGAACATTTGCAGGTTCATGATGATACCAGGAGATTTGGCTTTACTGTCAATTTTTACTGGAAAGAAAGTAAGCCAAAAGGCAGGAAACAAATTTGAAATAAAGCATTAGGCAAGTATCTGCAAAGATTGTATGTCTCTACTGAGATTTATCTGTAGTCAGATTTTTCTGCAGATTAGTGTTACCACCTGATTGTCGTCAGTGGAGACCTGGTGTGTATAGCCGGTAGAGGATGACCTTCATTTCTAAAATGGGAACTCAAAGCAAATCAAGGTGACCATACACACCCTTTTGACATCATGATAGTGGATAAGAACAACACAACACCCCCGTCCATCCTGAAATCCATGGAGTATCTTAGGCACTCAAGAGTTCACTCAGGCTGAGTATCCTTAGTGGAGCCTCTGGTGAGGAGACAATGCCTGACTGGAGCAAAGGTAGGCTTTTGCTTTCTGCCAAATTGCCCTCTCAGTGTCTTCCTTCATGTTTAGATACTTTTTTTTTTGCTCTTATAAACCTTCGCAAACTGACAGTATGTTTCTTTTTGCAATGAAACTAACTGTCTCATTTAGAAAAAAAAAATTCTGTGCTGTTCTATGCCAGCTTACTGCGCTAATTTTTCCTTCGTAAATGCTTTGGGGTGTTTATGACTACTAGTAATGCTTTTGCTTTTCTTCCTAGCAAGCCTCTGAACTTTCAGGCTCTAGAAAGCATTTGAGTTCTGTCACGCTCTGCCAATAGTCAGAATGCATGTACTGAATAAGTAAACATGCTTTCAAGTCAGGCTTTTTAAATGAGATATTAGGAAACTCAACATTATTTTAACTATTAAGTGTTAGGGACATCTGATTCTAGATTTGGTGCAGGGAGACTGTGCGGAAAGAGTCTGATGGGTCTGCAGGGGGAAGATTTGATTAGGTGTGCATATGACAAAATATCAGGGAGATCTGCCAAAGTAAACCACTATTGAAGTGAGAGCCATTAGGTGTTATCAACTCATCTGGAAGTTCTTGGTGAGCAATCTTTGATATAAAACATTTTCGTATATTGCCATGTGATATACTGCTCTGCTGAGAAACAAGGCTAAGTATTAATCTTTTCCATTTTATCCAGACAGACCCTGCCCAACCCTGGACCCAAGTTGGTCTGCATTGGTTTTAGGTTTTGTTTTTCTGGTCGTGCACATATTTTGCTATTTACAAATGGAAATATTGCTGTGGGACAAAGACTTCTGTCTTGCTCTATGTGGTGGAATTCATTTAGAAGGGGTCGAGGAGGAGATGGGGAACAGTAACTTTGTGTCAGCTTCCCCAGACAAGCAAGAACCAGTGTCGGTCTCAAAACACAGCTTTACACATTTAAAATAAGGCACATGGAGGTCCAGTGTTCCTCCCTTCCTCAGGGTACACCTGTGAAGTGAGGGTCAGTCCCAGAATTTGAAATGGCCACGGGCATCATAGGAAGTCATGCAGGATTCATATGATGTTGCAAAGAGCTTCTGAGGCAAAGAGGAAAATCTCTAGCAAGAATATACATTTCCAAGGGTAGATTGGAAGTGGCTGAAGGACCCGCTCCAGCAGAGTGATGGTGAACAAGGTGAGTCCAGGTAGGTCAGACTCCTTTGGATGTTCTCCATAGGTCCCCTAACTTTATTCTGGATGGCTGTTATGTCTGAAGCTCTAAAATCCTTATTACTACCTGTCATTCTCCATCTCTCTGGAGCTGCCTGAGGCCACTTGCAAGAACATGGCACAAAGAAGACTGTTTGCTCAAAGCTGGGCTCAATTTGTTCACTTGGTTTGAATGGAGGAATTATCTAAGAGCTCCCTATTAATTACAGGAAACCCATAGCACTGTCCTGTTTTTCCATTAACACAGTTTCTTTCAGATTTCAACTAAATTATTTCAACATCTGGGCTACAGATAAACCAACGATTTAATTAGACTTCTGAAAATGGAAAGAATGAACTATGCAGTCAAGCATACACTTTCATCTTGAAATGGATCATCAAATATTTGTGTGCTTTCATTCTCTGCTGCTTTAAAAATCTGTCCTTAGTTTATATATAGGAAAGTCTTAAAGACAAAACAGATATAAAAATTTGTCTTTAAGGAGGGTACTCTACATGGAACCCTTGTTTTCACTATTTATTCAGGAAACGAGAGGGAAATCAAAATGAGTGCATTGAAACAGCACTTTAAATTGAATGATTATATATGTAATCATTCTGTAAATCAAACATAATACAAATATGGTTTTTGTGAATGTGACATCAAAAGTTTGATGAGACTGTGAAACTCCTGAAGGCTGCATGTAAGGTAATGTATTGTGGGTCATCCATTCATTGGAAATCAAGACACAATGAAAGATTAACTTCTCTGTCCATGCCCATAACAAGGTGTGATAATGTCTGAATGACTTGGCTCATTTTCTGACAGCATAGGGACATCATCTTTCAGATCTGATTCAAAATAGAAGCACAAAATATAAGCTGACAGAAAAGCATGCAATTCTGACTTATTTGTTCTGTATTTAAAAGTACTGTTCAGTGCCCTAGACAATTTCACATTTGCAAGACAGAATATTATGCTAAAACTACTGGAGTATGCACCAAAAATCTCATCTGTTCCTTAGTTATTTGCTGTGTCTTTGGTATGTTCATGCTACAGGGATGGGAATATTCAAATAAATGAGGAAGGAACCCCAGAGTCTTGTTTCAGAGTCCCCTGCTGGACCATACAGGCTACTTGTGTCCTCAGCGCACGAGTTCGGTGGCATGTGAGTGAAATAGATTTGATTTGCCAAGATACAATCATGGTAAAGAAGTGTTAGAAAAATTACAGCCTGATTTTCACATTAGATATGCACATTTGCAGCTAACTCTGCAATCAGGAAGAGCAGTGCAGTTCCAGAAGAAAGAAGATGGGGATGAAATAGAGGGAATGGAGCGAAACAGCATTACCTGCTTCAGATGTTGCTGCTGATGAAGGTAGGAGAGATAATACTGGACTTGGCATTGCAACACTGTCAACAGCTGCTGGTTTCCTTCTGGTCATCACGTTACAGGCAGAACTTTCCATTTTACCATGAAGTGAAGTCTGGTCTGCTTTTAAGTGGGGACCTGCAATACCTGGGGAAGGAAACAAAATTTGGATGAATACTGGCAAAGTAACATGTCTGGGAAATATCTGAAAAAAGAGTAGTCAGTTGCTGCCCTGGCTATGTTGATATATTTCCATATTTCCTTGTATATGTACCTGTAATACAGTCTTGACACTAGCAAGGATCACCACTGTTTTTGATAATTTGCTGTAGGACATGCCATCACGGGTCTCTATAAACAATGGTAAACAAAAAAAAAAAATAAAAATCCACATTGCTACTTTTTCTTCTAAAAAACCTGCATCAACCCTGATGTATGTACAACGACAGACAGATTTCATATCTCTGTTTAGTGGGATCGACTGTTTGTCATTCCCTGGGTAGTCTATTCTCCACACATTCTTACATGCTTCTCTTCTATAAACACCTCACTTAGCAGGTATTTCATCTGAGTAAGGAACCCGCATCAGGAACAACTTCAATATGTAACTCCCTGTCCAAAGCACATTACAGTCACTTTTCAGGAGTCCCCTCCCCAGTTAAAATTTACCCCTAGAACTCATCAAAGAGAAGGGAGTTAAAAAAGAAAGAGTTCTTTGTCATACATTTTTGTATCTAGAGTTTACAATGAAGAATAATAAATGAGCAGTAGAAATACACCAAAGAGGTCAAATATTCCAGAAAAAAGTTATGCTCTTATGTCTGGTAGATTCTTCCCTTAACAATGTTTTTGAAACTCTCATATTTTGTCAAATTTAAACTGCTGTGATTCATATTTGAAAACCTCTCCCAGTCTCTGTGATGCTGGGCTTCAACACCATAGGACAGCTATGGGATTATCTCAAAAATAATCTTTCATAAATTCCTTTCCTTTTCAAATCTCTACCTGCACGTGTCCCTCAGATAAAATGCATCAGATTTTAGCAACTAAATTACACAGAGATTTAAAAAAATCACGGAGCAACTAAGGTTGGAAGGCTCCCCTTGAGACCATCTAGTCCACTCCACCCTGCTCAAGCAGGGTCAGCCAGAGCACGTTACCGTGACCATGTCTGGTCAGTCTAGAATATCTCCAAGGAGAATCCACAACCTCTCTGTACAACCTGCTCATCCTCTCAGTAAAATTTTATTGTTCAGACATAACCTGTGTTTCTGTTTCTGCCCATTGCCTCTTGTCCTGTTCCTGTGCCCCACTGAGAATAGTCTGGATCTATCTTCTCTGCTCTTTCCCATCCCATGTATTTGCATACATGGATAAGATCCTTCTGAATATCCCAGCTCTCTGAGGCTTTTCTCATAAGAGAGGTGCCCTAGATCCTTAATCTCTGTGGCCTTTTGTTGGACTCTCTTCCATATGTCCACGTTCCTCTGGTATATCAATCACTCCTCTCAGTTTTGAACTTCTCCAGGTTCATTGAGGGTGTTTTTTACCCCAGCATCCTGGTCATTAATTAACATGTTAAATTCTTGTAGTCCTTATGTAGAACCCTGGGGTGCAACTCCAGTGACTGGTCTCTAGATGGACTTTGTGCTACTCATCACACCCTTTGAGCCCAGCCAGTTTTCAGTCCATCACAGTGTACATTTATCTAGTCTGTATTTCACAATTTTGTCTATGAGAAGCTAATAGAACACAGTGCCAAAACTCTTGCTAAAGGCAAGATAAGAAACACCATATTGGTGAGGCATGATTTCCCCTTCATAGATTTTGGATAACTACTCCTGATCACCTTCTTTTCCTTCATATGTTTGGAAATGCTCTCCAGGAATATTTACTCCACCAAACTCCCGGGGATTGAGATGGGACTGACCATCCTATTGGTCTCTGCCTCTTTTCTCCATGCCCTTGTTGGGATGACATTTTCTCTCTTCTACTCCTCAGGGTCCTTTCCTGATCATCACAACCTTTCAAAAACAATCAGGACTGGCCTCACAGTGATGCCAACCCAATCCCTCAGCACTTTGGATGCATCCCGCCAGATCCCATGAACTTATGCATGTCCAGTTTGTTTAACTGTTCCCTAATCAGATCTTCCTCCACCAAGAATAAGTTTCCTTTCCTCACCTGTCTCAGGGGCATGTGACTCTCAAAGGACAGTCTTACCAGTAGAGATCAAGGCAGATAAGACAATGAACACCTCAGTCTTCTCCTGGTCTTTTCCCACGAGGATCCCTGTTTCATTCAGCAAGGGGTGCATATTTTCTCTAGGCTACTTTTTTCTGCTTATGGACCTGTAGGAACATTTCTTGGTGTTCTTCTGCCCCAGATTCAACTCCAGGTAGACTTTGGCTTCCTAAGCCCATCCCTGCATACTTGGTCATGGTAGTTCTCTGGGCCAATCCCTTTTGCTTCTTTTTTTGTATCTGACATTGCTCAGGAGCTTCTGGGTCATTCAAGAAAGTCTCTGGACATCTTTGTTTTAATTTGCCACTCTGATCTGGTTTGGTGTGATCCAAGCCCCAGGTCAGCAGCAAACCACCCTGCACAGCAGGTCAGGTCAGCACACATGGGCCTTTATCCCCTGTGGCAATGAACCCCTACTGTACCTGGATAGCACCTGGTTGTTTCTCAAAAACTCTCCACAAGTACTCTGACAGCTTCAACCATAGAATTACTTAGTCCCAAATTCCCCAAGCACTGCCAAGGCCACCAATAACCCATATCCAAAAATGACACATCCACATGGCTTTTAAATCCCTCCAGGGATGGGGACTCCATCACCACCATGTGCAGCCTGTGCCAGGGCTGGACAACCCTTTCCCTGAAGAAATTTTCCCCAATATCCAATCTAAACCTTCCTTGGAACAACTTGAGGCTGTTTCCTCTTCTCCTATCGCTTGTTCCCTGAGAGCAGAGCCTGACCCTCACCTGGCTCCCCCCTCCTGTCACAGAGTTGCAGAGCCAGAAGGTCCCCCCTGAGCCTCCTCTTCTCCAGGCTGAGCCCCCCCATCTCCCTCAGTTGCTCCTGGTGCTCCTTTCCTAAAAGATCAAGAAGATCTCAAAGCAGAGCCAGAAACAGCTGTACAAAGCTCTGTGTCTGCTGGGTGTGCTCTGCCACTCCAGATACCAACCAAAAATTCCTTATATATATATTCCTTCATAGCTGCTTGGAGCTGCTATAAACAGTCCCTACCTTTGTCTCTGGCCCATGAAATGAGAAATATCAGGACATCTGTGGGTTGTCTCAGAAAACATGGAAGAAATCTCTATCAGATACAGGCACAGAACTGCTCTGGTGAGAGGAGTCTGAAAGACAAGGCTACAGAGTAGGCCAGTTTGGAATAGAACTCCCGATGAACCCATGACCTGGTATATCAACTTGTGGACTTAAGGGAGACAAGAGCTCTGAGTGTAGAAATAGCCATGAGTGAGACAATATTACAGGTCATGGCTTTGTGAAAATACACAGAGTCGTCTCTGTCTATTAGACTACACATCCTCCCAGAGCCTCAAACCTGGTATTAAGCATCTCAAATTGTATCCATTAAACTTCAATCTCTCTCTGCTTGGCTTCTCTAGTGCAAATGAGAACAATAATATACCCCTCATCTCAAGAGCAGTCCTGTGAAAATAAAATTATCAACATTCATGAAACATTCATCTATTCATACCAAGGCTTAGAAATGTGGAATAAATGAGACATGATGTCACGCACTGAATAGCAAGAGGAAAATCCAGCTACCAAATAGCTGTTCATTAGGTGAGCACTGTACATGGAATAAAACAGTGTCCCATAGAATAACCAGGATATTTGACTAGGTAATTACACCTATGGGATCTCACCACCGTGGAACTGTGCATATGCAAACCTGATGTTTCACCAGGTCTGGAGTTTGTGCCTTAATGTTATTTATTCATGAATTGTTGCATAAGAAATGGGCGTTTGTGGGTGCATGTATCAATACACATACACATATATGCACGTGCATGTGGTACATAATAATGCTAACAACCTCATAAATTCAACATCTGGCTCTAATTAAACTGAAGGGCCTCTATAAAGAGCCGTATGAAAACATGCAGCTGTAACCTGTTGACCTCTATTGATAAAAAAAAAAGTCTGTGAAGCTGTGTTTCAACATATCAAGGGACAGTCATTCATTTTTTCAAAGGTAATCCCTCACAAACCACTTATCCTCTCAAATCTCTACCTGCACACAGTGTTTGCATTAGGGACCTTGATTTATGGATTCCCACTCCTTGGATGGAGAGGCCAACTTCCTGTTGCCGTGGTTACTTGGATCTTGGTTCAAGGTTAAACTACTCCCAAATCAAAATCAGTGGCAGGCACAGCATCTAACAGCCAGGTTATTGACTACCCTAGGATGCTTAAAGGTCAAAGACCAAAGTGCTGCTTACTGCCTTTGGGGTGAGTCAATATTTTCAATATTTTTATTCTGTTTCTTCTGAAGAAGTAGTTGCTGCTCAATTACCACCTATCTGGGTTTAGCAAGGTCATACAAATCATTGAGGAAACTCCTCCCCCTACAGAAGAGACACAAATGTAATGAATTACTTCAAAGTCTATATGGCCCAACTGCAGCTCAGCACTGGTGAATCATGGGTTCAGACATCTGTCTTTTGCTTTAGGGGCTTGGATTCTTCAGCCTGTATCACTCACCTCACTGAAAAACTCATCTAAATCAAGGAAGAGGAGGAATTTATGGATCTGGAGAAGCCAATAAGGAAGATTCATCAGTTTTCTTTCATGGATACCAAAATGCAGAGGCTCAGAGGCTCAGTTGGAAACCCACACAAGTGCAGCAATTTGCTCACAAGGCTCTGATGCACTCTGCAGTGGTGGAAGGTCTATTCCTTGAGTGTATGGACCCGCTGGTGTGGTATCATCACCTTTCATTGGACTTTTTTTTCTCATTTAGATTGCTCTGTTCAGAAGGCCTTATGGAAGAGAAGGCCCTAATTTAACCCATCTATGAATCAGGTGAAAACAAATCATTTGCAGCACAATCACAGGGGAGTCAGAGTTTAAAATTCACACACACACATTCATTAATCCAGTATATTTT